GCGAGTAATTATTAGAGAAGTACATTGTTACAGTGGGCCTGCGTTCATAGTGGGATACCGCAGGGTTCAATTTTAGGACCACTATTGTTCTTAATTTACATTAATGATATTGACACCGATACATACAGTAAACTGGTTAAATTTGCAGATGACACCAAGGTGGGTGGTGTAGCAGATACTGATCTAGCAGTAGAGAGGCTACAAGGAGATCTTGATTTAATTAGCGACTGGGCTGATACCTGGCAGATGAAATTTAAATAGATAAATGAGAAAGACCTCAGTGTGTATGTTGATGCTTCTATGTCCTACTCTTGCCAGTGTGGGGAAGCAATAAAAAAGGCCAATAGGATGTTGGGTTACATCTCTAGGTGTGTGGAGTTTAAGTCAAGGGAGGTGATGCTACGATTATATAATTCCTTGGTAAGACCCCACCTTGAATATTGTGTGCAGGCTTGGTCACCATACCTTAAAAAGGACATTGCTGCCTGGGAAAGGGTGTAACGTAGGGCTACGAGAATGATTCCTAGAGGAATGTCTTATGAGGAGAGGTTAGCTGAGCTGAATCTGTTTAGCCTCGAGCAAAGGAGACTAAGGGGGGACATGATCCCGGCATATAAGATTCTAACAGGTCTGGATGCTGTTCACATAGCTGTCAAGTCTCCGGTTTTGGCTGGGAAACTACCGTATTTTACCCCTCTTTCCCGCCGTCCTCCCGTATTAGTACAGTATTTTCCCGTAAAACTCCCATATATCCATTTAAAAAAAAATTCCTCTGCCTCTCCAAACTGAACTGTCAGTAGCCTCGCGAGAACTGCGACCTGCAGTAGTCTGCAGGTCATTTACAACATTAACCAGGTCATAAGTGCGGAGGTTAAAATGGCAATGCTGTGTGGCAAAAACAACGTTACTTTCACCTTCTGTGACGTCTTCAACAAGGATACAAAGTCTGCAACAAATCTGTATAATAAGTCATTAGTGAATGCCAGAGAGCCACATGAGTGAACATGAGAAATTAAAAGAAATTGTGTAATGAAAGTAAAATGTAAATGACAAGTGGTTATTTTAGATTTCTTGTACACCTGTCTTAAAATGATACTGGAGTTTGGTTGGGGCAGTGGGTGCCGGAAAATTTCCCTTATTTTCAAATCCAAAACTTGACAGGTATGGGTGTTCAGCCAAATGGCTATATTAGTCTAAATACTATAGAACTCGTGGCCATAAGTGGAAATTAGCGGGAGAACATTTTAAAATGAATTTGAGGAAGCACTTCTTTAGACAGCGTGTAGTTAGAGTATGGAATAGTCTTCCTGCTTGTGTAGTGCAAGCTAAAACCCTGGGTTCCTTTAAAGCTAGATAAGATTTTAACAACTCTGAGCTATTGGTTAAGTTCTCCCTAAACGTTCTTGATGTGCTGAATGGCCTACTCTCGTTTGTAAATTTCTTATGTAAGACATCGAAATCGTCTGCTGCCGCAGAGTACGTACGGTCCACAGAGGGAAACATTTCAAAACCGTATTACGCAATGAATTCCAGTTCAGAGTAGATCACCTGTAGTCTAATTTTGATAAGGACTTTAGGTTAAAGTTCCTTTATACAGTAAGGTTTTTAAACGCTGTTTCGAGTTTGCCATTAGGCTATTACTACGCATATGAAGACGGTTGGTCCTGTTTTTCGTTGAAGTACGGGAAAGACCATAAAGGTAAGTGTAATTCTGCTTGGGCTTCCAGGGTTGTAGTATTCCAGTCCTGTCTTGGTCTCGAGACCACTTTTTCACTTACTTGGTTTTCTCATTTATCTTACTCCTATCGAAATAACAATTCAGATTAATAAAATAGCCCATGATAATAAAATGTAAAATTAAAGTCATGTATTATTCACCTTCATTGTATTAGCTGTATACTTGTTTGTTTGTGTGTTAAAAATACTGTCACAGAGTGCAGCGCTAGCTTGGAAATCCCTTCAGAACAGGCAAGATGTCATTCGATTAGGCTACGTAGCTCCCTACGTAGCTCGTACGTTAATCATAAAAGTGCTATTC